AAATATTCCTTTGCTGTAATGACCAAGATACAAACCGTTAGAGTTCTAAATAGGGAAGATTTCCTATGTTTAGCTTTTGATACCAGAGGTGAACTTTCTAAATATAAGTGAAAACATACAGTCTTATTGTCTCCCAGTCTTAACACTTCTTGGTTTGTGTCTGGCATTTTTCTTGCTAGTTGATTATCAGTGTTTTGTTCCTTAGCCATACCATTAAATACATTACATTATTTACAGGTAAACTGACTCTCATCTGATGTATTCAAAGCCCATTTTCACATAGCATGTGGAAATGTACTTTTTTGTGTTTGATAATCCTTGTTCTCCCTTGTGCAACTTGTTCTATTTTAGATCAAGTCAAGGAACCAAACTAGAAGGGAAAATATTTCTTGAGGATTTTCCTCTTGGTTGTCACAAATTAAATGAAATTTTATTTACCTGAACAAATATTATATCCAATTTTTTTAGTTTATAATATCCTTTAAATCTTGAAATATAAATATTTTAAATACCTAATTCTAAAAGCAAAAAAGTACAACAAATACACCTGTTATTCCAAAGAGAGATTTAAAAATTTCAGAACTCAGAAAGCTCAAGGTAGGATGGACAATATCAGTTTAATTCTTCGATTTTGGCTGGTGTGTTAACCAAAGAATGTGATTTGATGTTTTAAGCAATCATTTTACTTGGATATGTTCTTAAGAACCTTTCCACTGCTTTAAGGAATATGCATCTTCATTTTCAAGGACAATCTAAACTCACCATATTCTCAAATGTCCAAATCTGTTCAGTTTCTAAGTTCTGAAAGTTCTGTTTTTGAATGCTTGGAAAATGTAATTAGGGTCATTTAGGCTAATCTTGAGATATTCTGCAAATTGGAAAGGGAAATCTGGAAGAAAAGGATTAAATCTTCATTACCTTTTTTCTCTTTGAAATGCATTTAAACAACTCTTCCATCTTGAAAATGTTCTACCAGCTTAGAACAATGTTTCTGACCAGCTTCTGTAAGTACACACTGGCAATTTAGTGTAGATGGATGGCTGCTTTTAACTACCCTCATGCTCAGCTGTACTCTTAGAAGAGAATATAGTGTCTAAACATGGTAACTGTTGTGATTCCAACTGTGAAGTGCCTAATTTTTTCTTCCACTGTTGCTGTTGTTGATAGAGCTTAGTTAGTGGAGAAAACCACTGCTGAATGTGAAAATAGCAGGGTGACACGGCGCTGATACCCTTGTAGCCAGTGTTGTGTTCCCCAAGGCTTCCTTTAGCAGTAAGTCAAAAAAATAGATTAGCTCAAAACACTCCATGGAAGTCACACTTGGAATTAAAACATCTAAAACCAACTTTCATATTAATGATTTGAGGCTGTATGAATGTACGCTGATTAGGAATGTCTTAATTCAGTTTTTAAGCAGTCCAGATACTGTCTTTAATTTCACAGAACTCAGCCATATTAGAAATCTGTACACAACAGCATCACATTTCTGTAGAAAAACTAGAAAGTAGAACATGAAATGGCTCTTCATGTCGATAAAAATGCTATGCTCAGATGAAATGCATCATCAGCCATTCAACCATATGATTGCTTGTTAGACACGCCATTTTATGCAACTCTTGATACTTAAGAGAAATGTCATCCTACTCCATGGCCATCATTGTGCGTAATTGGTACCTTTTAAGAAACTAACTACCTGATTGGCAGTCTCATTTGAGTAGTTAGATCTCTAAATGACATCACTGTCCCTATGGGAACCTTTTGGACCAAAACTGAATGCCAGTTTTCAAATTTTTGGCCATGTGTTTTAACAGACAGTTTATAATTTGACTTTACGCTAATAATTCTAATATGATTCTGCATGGCTTTCATTAAAATTCCAGTATACAAGGTATCTTGTTTCTATAATAGTTCTTTTGAAACTATTTTTTTTAAATAAAGGTAGCACTAAGGTCATTTATGCTGATAGCACTAAAATCCAATTTAACATTTACATCTTTTGGTAACAGTCTGTTGCATTACAGGTTCTAGTTCCCAGGCAATGGACCCCATCATATTCTATGACATTCTGTAACTCATAAAATAGAGCTACTTTTGTCAGTCTATTTTGCACTTGTTGCATCTTACAACACCAGTGGCTATTGCCTAACTGAAGACCACTATTAGAAGCCTTGTATGCAGGCTAATGCCAGGATATGAAGACATTACCCATCCTGGTCTGATTGAGATAAGTGTATCATACACTTCCCATTGCAGGATGCTCTAAGATGAATCTGTACTTTTTAGCTTTGCTGATCAAAGTTCCAGTCCCACAGACTAACTAGAAAAATCTTTCTTACATTTTGGTCTCATTGAAGGTCACTTGTTAAAGTTCTCAGTTTTGCCCTAGGTTATCAAAATCAGCATTCAATGCCAAGCTTTCACTTTCTCTCAGTATGAAATTAGTGATCCTTTTGGGGTTTTTTTAGTAGCTTTTACACACGTGAGTAATGCTGTTTCATTCCTATGTTTCTCACAGTGTATTCACAGCTACGCCACTTGTGGGAGCCTTAGCAGGAATTTGAAATTATCCCAAATGTCTCTAAAGGCACCTAAAGGTTTAAAGTGTTCAGCCTCAGGAGAAATGGCCAATTCAGTTCAGTGATAAAAATGGGAGCTGAGCCCTTTTGAAAAGCTGCTCCCAAGGGCTGTTGGACAGAGCCCTTTATGTCTTGGTTTACACATTAATTCTGCTTTCAGCTGCAAGGTTTTACAATAAAAATTAAGAGAAGTTTTATTTCAGAATTAAAATATGCTACGGAAATCTTTCATTTCAAAACCAAAGCTGTCTGGAGATCATGGGATTTTTGGATTATTTCAAAGGCATAACACTGTCAAATTTATACAAGTCATATATTCCCACTAGATATGTTGTGACCATTTTTCCTTGATTCCTTTTTTGTTGTATTTTTTATGATAGGCATGTTAACAAGCTTCAGTTTATGACCTTGACATTTGATTATTTTTCTTTTGAGGTCTTCATACACCACTAAAAGATTTTGTTTAAATCATTACAAATAAACCAACCAGAGAATAAGTCATTGGAATGGACAGAAGCAATTTCCTTTCCCTCTATTTGTGCGTAATAGTGGCCTGGCCCATAAGCCATACAAAGATAGCGAAACATTAGCATGGCACAGAAAATGCAGCCATATCTGCGCCTGACAAAATAACAGTACATTCATAATGCTGTTGGCTTCTTAATTTCAAAAGGCAGATTTTAATATTACTGACTTCAGAGAAAGATAAGAAAGGCACTGCATAAGACATTATCAGTCCAGTGTGGAAATAATGCATTCAAAATTAAAGACAGCAGTTTAATTAAGTGCATGAAAGGCTGGCTTTTATGATCATATTTCAAATACTCGAATGCCTTTTCATCCATTCTGCCGTATGACTTTACTTAATAATATATCAAGAACAAAAAATGATTGGAGGCTTTCTGCAAATTCAATTAGTCCAATAAAAAGTGAAAAATAATTTCTTTTTCATTAAAAAGAACTCAACCCTAGCCCTTCTGATGACAAAGTGCAAGATGAGGAGGGGGGGAAATCTAAAGAACTATGAAAATTCTGCCTTTGTTATGCATTTATGTGTGCATGAAACGGATGAAGTGTCACCATTAGTAACATTTGTTACTGAAGGGACTAATTGCATTCTGCTACAGTTAGAAGTTTATCAGATCCAGACCACAGGGTATTTACTTCTCCCTTAGAATGCACTCACAGTGCAGCAATAATTCCATAGTTTATTGGACTGCTATAGGCAGGGTGATTATGCTAAAGTGTACCTCTTTCAGCGCTAAACTTAAAACTGCCATGACACATTGCACTAGTGCTTTACAGGTTAAGTGCAACCTCTTGAATTCTTTCTACCTGCTAAGGGTTTATAGCTGAGGGAAGTGCAGAGATCATAGATCTTGTGTACTAAACCAGAAAAACGAGTAACACAAACAACCCAGAAGTGCAGCATTGCAAATGAGAAATTATTAACTACGGTACACAACGAAGGGAGTAATGTGCAGTTAGAAACCTCTGAGATCGGGTTAAATGGGATGGCAAAGGGATCTGTAATGAGATACCGAGCTTTAGGCTGGAAGCAGTAGGTTACTGGCTCAACCATGGCACTCGTCTGTAGTGGCTGAAAGTTATTACCACTTGTCAGCTCCTCTCTGACCTCTCTGAAATGAGGTGCTAGTCCCAGTCTGGCTCCCAGTGGGCAGACACCTCTGTTACAGACACTTCCAGTGCCACGGCTGGTTTGTCAGTCACAGCCCTGGCACAAAGGCTTGTAGCAGTGCCGTGGAGAATAAACAGCATCCTCACCTCCAGAGCTGGTTCTTTCAGGTCAGGGCTGAGGCAGGATGGCAAATAATTTGAGAAAGCTTGAAACTCCACTGCTAACAGAGGGTGGCTCTGGGTAAATCAAAGATCTCATTTTCCAGAATTGCACGTTGACAGGTTTCACTTCTCCTGATACAAGTAAATGTAGCCCCAAGAGCTGCTGGGGAATGAGCTGGTCCTGTTCTGTTTATGGGCACCCACCGCACAAACTGATTCCTCTCTGCTGTCATTTTCCCTCTTATTTGTCTTGTTCTTGATTCTTTCAATACCGTGCTGTCTATCTCGGGGATGTTTCCTTCTATGTTTCTCTCAGTGTGTGCTTATGAACAGATTCTTTTCCCGATATCTATTCATGTCCTAATCTCACTTTAACTTCAAAAATATTCCTCTCCCAGAGGTTTCCTTAGAAATAATGTAGAGGATCAAAAAATAGAGCAATGAGTTTACAATAGTGACTCATCAGGTTTTTAAAGCAGTAATTTTCATGTAACATGTAACAAACATTCTCATGTAACAGAGGTAAGAACTATAAAAAAATATTTCCTTTAGCAAGCACGCAGGTAAAAATAAAAGCATTTATGGAAGTATGATTTACTAAATATTTTTCATTTTTTCATATAGGTAACCCTCCTGCGACAGGTACAGGAACTTTACACATCACTTTGGAGGATGTCAATGACAATGTCCCATCCCTTTATCCAACACTGGCAAAAGTTTGTGAAGATGCAAAAGATCTCAGGGTAGTGATACTAGGAGCATCAGACAAAGACCTTCATCCCAACACAGATCCATTCAAATTTGAACTGAATAAGCAATCTGGCCCAGAAAAATTATGGAGAATCACCAAGATTAACAGTAAGTCTATTACTTTTTTTCTTATGCATTTAGTCCTCCCACCTCTCTCTCCATCCCAGTCTGCTCACCCTGAGGCTGCCCATTATGTGAACTCAGGAGCACTTGTGCGTGGAAGTCCCACAGGATGGATCCATTGTTGCTGCTTCTCTGTTCTCTGTGTTCTCTGTGCTTGGACCAGCTGCCTGGTGGGACATAGTCATAGTCTGTCTGCACTTTCTCCGAAATCTGAACCTTTTTCTTCTTCTCATTATGTTGACCAAACCTTTCTCTCTAGTTTTGCATTAAAGGAAGGCTACTAATGACTTACAGTTTTGTAAATATTACCATATTTCATGGCATGGAATTTGTTTGCATGAGATGCACAAGGCTTTGGATAGGACAGCATGAAGCTTCTGCATGGGCTTTAGCAATGTACTTGAAAAACTTCCTGATTTTAGCTATTTGAACTCTTCACAAATAAAATACCCAAATGCACTGGGACTGTACACTACTGGTAAGATCAAAGTACATGCTATGCAGAAGGTTCATATGGCAAATTGTGGGCACAAAGTACTACGTTTCTTTTAATATAGATTATTTCTGTTTGTTTTCTAGCATGTATTATTACCTCTGTCACAACCAAATCTTTAAGCAGTTCATTTCATATTCTTAGAAAAAAATAAAGATGGACGTGATGTCTGTACCTGCCTGCAGGTTGTTACAGACAAAGTGGAGGAGTCATTTTCTTTGCCATACTCCAAACATGAAACCAGCACTCTATTAAACCCCCTTAAAAAGTTAAGATGCTCACCAGGGTACCAACACCTGTTGTGACCCACTGCTGCTCAGGTGGAGCAGATCTGTGGATCATAGGGGTCATTACTTCAATTTGCTGATTTCTCAACCAAACAGGTTTGCCTGTACTTCCTTGCAAGATGAACTATTTTCATTGGCAAACAGTTATATTCTTACCTATTTTGTTTCTTTGGGGATGATGTGCCTCAGCATTTCATTAATATACTAGTTTCCACAGGGAAATTGTGCCAATAATTTGAGACCAAATAATGTACTTAAGAAAAAGGGGCTCTTAAAAGTCTTTCTTTTGGTGGGGTTTGGCATAAGTTTGCAGTTAGCTCTCAACTCATGAAAGAATTTCTCTACTGACCCTTCTTACCGCCAGTTCAATTCTTTAATCTTTTCCTTAATGTTCTCATTTTCTTCTCAATTTCCATGAGTAACTGTGGCACACCTGATACTGTTTGCAGATTCCTCTTCCCTTCCAAACAACCACTATTTGGCTGATTCTCACCTTATCCTTTGCAGATACTCATGCCCAGGTGATCCTGCTTCAAAACCTGAAAAAGGCCAATTACAACATCCCAATCTCAGTGACAGATTCTGGAAAACCACCTCTGACTAACAACACAGAACTGAAATTACAAGTGTGTTCCTGCAAGAAATCCAAAATGGACTGCAGCGCAACCGATGCCCTTCATATCAGCATCACCCTCATCCTTCTTTCACTCTTCAGTTTATTTTGTAAGTCTTTTCCTGAACTGTAAGTAATGAAGTATCATTTAGCTGCTCATTTGTATGCTGCATAAGAAAACCTACCAAGGGAGAAGTTAAATTCATACATTGATATCATAATGCAGTAAGTTTGGGGTTTTTTTTCCCTGAGGAATTGTAGCTATAAGAGGGAGGGGAGGGTTTTTTCATAGTCAAAAAATAGCAACGAATTCCTGGTTGTCAAATTAAGAAATAGAAGCAGTAATTTTAAGAAGAATCAAAGAGAATTAGAGCAAGCATATGATAAACTAAAAAGTACCAGCTGTAGTAGCAGATTTGTGAGACGCTTTCTTTCATCTCTCCCCACTTGAATTCAATTCAAAAACAGAAACAGGAGATTAAAGGTGTTCTTGTAACAATAGCTCTTCTGGGTCACCATGAAAATAAGTACTGTCTGCTTCAATCTATTCCTCTGTATAACGTGCGCGAGCAACTGGAACATGAGGAACTTATTCAAGATTCTGGGCTTAGAGCCACCCAGAACTGATAATCAAATTGCAAGTCTGGGTGGGAAGGCAGAGAGAACTGATACACAAAGGAAGCTTCTGCTGCTTCTGGGAAAGCTTTCTAACAGACACTTACAAAATTCCTAATTTGAATTGGAAGGAGTAAAAAAAAAGTCCCAGCATGACTGAATAAGAACTCAAAGCCATGGAATCCCAACATCTAACCTAGATATGTCCCTGGCTTGTCCTGGGACAGATTCCCGCAAATTTTGTGATGCAGTATTATTTTGTGTTCCTTATCTGTTAAAAAGGAATAGCTGTATCCTATAACTGTGATAGTAAATCTCTTATTCAAGGATTATAATCACCATCTTACGTTAGTAAAATTAATTGTATGGTGAATTAGTACCTGAGCCATGGTGAAAGGCCTTATATTCTTGATGAGATAAAATCTACCATGAGGCAGAGATAGAGGTCAAGGCAGAGATAGTTTACACATCTGAGGCTTGGTGTATGCTTGATTACACATCTTGTCAGTTTTTTTCTTATAGTATATTACTTTTATCCCAAAAGGTTAGCATGAAGGTCATTGTGAGAGAATTAGAACTAGCTAATGTTTGTGATGCTCTTTGAAGATGAAAAGGACTATATAAATGCTAAGTGCAAATTCACGTTCTTTGTTCCAGTCAGTGACATCTGAAGTATCTCCATTGGCCTTGGTTCAGTTATTCTGGGTTTAGTCTGCTGGAACCAAACGCAGACTTCAGCTGTTAGAAGTAATATGTTAAAAATATTTGACAGTACATGACACTATTGCATCAGTGATATAAATATGCAGCCCAGTGATTCAAATGTATTTTTGTTACCACTTCATAAATGTTGCTGGTGCTATACTAGGCATGACTTTCACCACTGAAATTACTTTCATATCTGATATGATTTGCACTTAAACTTTATTTACATTAACGCATCTGCTCAGAATACAGTGAGGTAGAGAAAAGCTTTTTGCTTTTTAAAGCAATCACGTTGCTTTTTTGTAGCCCCCAAAGAAGTCTGATCATTTTCCTTACACTGAATTCCGAAAAGCAGTTCTAGGTATTGGACAGCTCTTCTTGAGTGACTGTTCTTGACTACAGACCTTCTCCAGCCCAACTGTGGGTGGGATGTAGGCCCTGGCATCTGAATGGCATGTGTGCTCTGAATGACAGAGGGATTCCCTCTCCTTCTGTGAGAGAATAAATAGCACTGAATAGTCTTTACACTGTGAAACAATACAGACATGCCTAGAGCCTTTCTGGAACCTTTGCATTCGCTCAGAGTACTGTAATAAGGATGGAGAGAGTTGCCATTTTAAACAAAGAGTAGAATAAGATTAGGCACATAATTTGCCAGCATATGATGTTCCGGTCTGTTTTCTGAGCAATAAAACCACAACAAAAGGAAACAGTGGGTGAGCTGAAAGGAAGGGGAGGGAAACATCTCCCTCTTGGGACAGAGGGTGTGTTATACACAGTTGTTGCGAGTGAGAGCACGAGTTCCACAAATGGACTTCAGCATAAAGAGACCTAATCCTCAGGACAGGACCCCGTTTTTTGGCTAAGATTTGCTAGTCTTCATTTGTGTGGGTTGGGTTCACCCAGTCACACCGAGCGAGGCTGGTATTGCATGGCCAGCAGACTAATCATGCCTATGCGAAGCCAGGCAGTGTAACAACTTTCATAACCATTCTCCTCAGGTGTAAATGACTGCAGAGAGACATAAAAGAATGAGTTTGGGAGCCAGTTAAAATAATGTGGTTCTGTGTTTGAACTTCTCTAAAATGTGCTGGTATCATTGCATTCTCAATTCATTTTCACACATAAGTTTTTTTATAACTGCGATTAGTTCCATTGCAATGTTTTGTGTAGCCCAAATATTTATCAGAGTAATCAAAGATTACGATGCCATAAAAACAAAGAGAACTTTAGTGCTTATTGAACAGATGAAATATCCCATTTCTAGTGGCAAGTTATGGGTTTAATTTTTGCAAAAGCCCTTACGTGGCTCACTTTGCTCCCAATGTTTATATTTTATGAGGCTCTTGTTCCTAGGAGGTAAATTCTTCAGTCAAATGAACTTTGTTATTCATGCCAAAGTATTTCTTTTTGTATTTGACATCTGGTGTGAGGATAGATAGCCCTGTGAAAGAGCCGTTCATCCTAAAAATGCCCTGCATGAGTCTCCTCCCCATACAAAACATCTTGGTATTATCATTTAAATGGTGCCACTATTATCCACACTTAGAATATGTGCCTCCTTTGTAAATCATGGAAGAAGTCATATGTGGTAGATTTCTGAAGTATCTGAGCATAGAACTGAAGAGCCTGATTAAAACTGTAATGCATGCAAAAAGCAGCAGTTTCACCTTTTCTGTAGCTGCCCTACTGTGTTCAGTATATTGAGGGATAATGGGATACAGACTGCAGAGTTGCCCAGAAGCCCTTGGAAAGGTAGATATACTTGGAAGAAGAGAAATTCAGTTGTTTTCAGCCAGAAATTGAAAATATAAGATGCCAAAGGATATGGGCAACAAAAACTGCCCTAAAAAAGAACTAGCTGGCAGGACTAGGCTTCAGATCAATTACAAATTATTTCTATTATTATTATTTCAAGGAGTATTTTGAATTCTGGACTTCTGATTTGACAATAACCATTTCACTTAATTGCATAATCACAGAATAATAATTGCATTTCATATTTCATATGAAATTCAAATGTGTTGAATTAAGGGACTACAGTAAGAACCAAAGGCGCAATAGTCATGTCCTGAACAAGCAGAATTCAGAGCAATTCCATTAGTAGCTGAGCCACAGTAGCAATAATGTTTTACTTTCATTTTGTTGCTAGAAAAAGACTGGACTTTATACACTTCATCTTGAAAAAAGAATTTGATATCTTAGTTGACTGTCAACTGTTGATAAGAAACTTTTTTTTGTTCACCTATCCAGTGGGCTGCAGAGCTGTAAGTTGACTTGAGCTTAAATAAGTAAAGTATTCTATTATTACGAACAGAAAGTAAGGTGAGAGACTTGGGGGGAAATACTGCTGTGAAGAAATTAAATAAGCTGGAGGTCTCTACATTGAAATTAATTTGTTAAACAGGGTGAAAAGGCCTCAGGTGTGTTGAAAAACAGAGACTCACACAGATGTCTGTAGTGCGATTGCAGAAAAGCCTTAGAGATACCCTTGAATTTAACTTCCTATTAATTTGCACTAACTTTTCGTGGTTTAATGCTTGCTGTATCCCACCATAATGTTTTTTCTGATTTGAGAAATGCAGCTACAGGGATAATAGACAAAAATGCCTTTTTTTTTTTTCCTTGAAAATTCTGTACTTGGTACTAAACCATTACAAAAATTCAAATTATATTAAACTGGTGGAATTGAATTTACCTGAACATAGGCAGCCAGAGTTAAAACTGTGGTGTTATCTTTCACCGAGTTCATTTTTCAAAGCAACAGAAGCATCTGTATCTCTGTATATCCTGTGTTATTTGTGCAGGAACGTCAAATGGCTGAAGACTGAGGCAATGCATTCTTGAGTGGCATAAGACTAAGACAAGTCATAGCAGGTTTCAAATAGAATAGAAATTTAAGGTCATTGCCCTTTCCATTACAAGTGCAGATTTGTTACCTGCAGATTCACACTTTTCAGCCTTTATTGTGAGTTTCTTGGCTTAGTTTTAGACAATCGTGTATATTTTTTGCAGGGCTCAACTGCTGTTTAGCTTTTACAGTAGGGTTTTTGTTTTTCCCAATGAAAAAAACCAAAAAGTTTATTCATGTTCTGTGTAGTTCCAAAAAGGAAGTTTCAGAGGAACCATTCCAATAGGTGAATTTGCTAAAAGCAATACTTTGTTGTTGTTGTTGGGAATTTTTTGTTTGTCTGTTTATCTTCTTGGCTGTTTTAGCATTTTTAATCTTCTGTAGCAATTTTCTACTTTTCAGAGCAGTGGCATTTAATTTAAAAAAAAAAAAAATCAGTTTAATTAGCAAGACTAGGAAATTGTGCAAGATAAATTTTTGCATTTGTGAGAAGTAAAATACTCCTATGTTGGCTAGAATTTGAAAAACTACCAAGATGGGGAGAGTTTTGCTGTGAAGGGCAGTTTGTTGGGGTGGGGGGTTTTTTGCACTAATTTAAGTTATGCTCTTGCATTAGAGCACACACACCATGTGGGTACTTAAAGTAGCAGCTAAATGATGTTACTCAAGTAATTGGAAATTACTGACATTTAGTGACTTCCAGTGATATAAGACTCACTTCCTAAAACCAATAACAACAGCAATAACCACTAATACTCTAATACTTATTATCTTTGTTACAAATGCTTTAGTCCATATTAGCATCATTATTATTATTATTACTGAGAAATTAGCAGTGAATATAGGTGCTTTCTCAAATGCTTGTATGCAAAAAAAAAAAGATTTTCCTCCTTAAATATTTTGGTTGATCAGACTGTAGTAAGGAAAGGATGGTTTGGGGGTTAAGGAATTGTTTTCAAATT